AAAAACAGGCAGCAGGCTAGATTTGACCTGCAGGCCATAGTTTGCAGATCTCTGATGTGGAGAACTAGTTAGGAAATATTAGTTTCCACTATGGCATGAATATTTAATTTGTTGCATCATTTAAAATTAATAATCCATTATGATGCCTAATTCATCCCAAATGCCCAGTATACCTGTTTCTCTATAGTGATTTATTTTGTTGGGCTTTATTATTGATTTTGTTTTGTTTCATTTACTTCTGTTCTTGTATTTTACTTTAATTTATATTTGTTTTAACTTTATATATCACATCAAAGTCTTTTTGGACATGAAAAGAGGAACATATATATAAATTTTTTTAGATCTGTATTATTAATGGGCAAATTCCGCTTTCTTTTTGGGCCTGTTCTTAAACAGTTGCTTGATTTTATTAGGCTGAACTTGACATTACCATGGCTACCCTGAGAGAAAAGCAAGCATTACTAAGACAAGTAGAAGATCAAATACAGGCCTTACAAGATGAATATGACAAAGGTGTAAATGAAAAAGAAAGCCTGGGTAAGTAACTCATAAAATTTACATTGGCCAGGAAATGCCTGATTTTCAGAAGTAGGAAGAAGTTTTTGGGAATCAGGTTTTAGCTTTTATCCAATGTATAGAATGTATTTTCATTAGCCTTCTAGGATCAAATAAGAACTCATGTGTTTTATATATTCAACATCCTGTACCTGAACAAGCCTTACTGGAGCATGTTACATTAAAACACAAAACAGTATGTGAATTTGATCCGGAAACTAAATACTACAAGGATACAGAAAACACTGTCTTCAGAGTTCTCGATATGGAAAAGGCAAGCTTAGACTTGGTTCTGAAATGGGAATGAATGCTGAATTGGTGTAAGGTTTCATAGAGAGGTATTGACATCATTAGTTAAATAATGCTATTCTACTAAAAAAGAAACAGGTAAATAAGCTATTAATACTTTATGAAAATATTGAATAGTATAATCTGATTTTCTTAAAATTTTTCTAGCAAAGACGATGGCCCTGACAAAAGCACGTGTAGTACGTGCTGGAAAGCTGACGGCAGCATTGGAAGATGAGCAGGTTCGATGGGAAGAAAGCATACAGAAGTTTGAGGAAGAAATATCAAATATCACTGGGAACGTGTTCATAGCAGCAGCTTGTGTGGCCTACTATGGGGCTTTCACAGCCCAGTACAGGCAGTCAGTGAGTAACCCTGCTTTCTGTAAGGAGGGATAAGAAGCAGCTGAAACTGGAGCCGGGGGTGGTTCATTTTTCTGAGTTCAGATGGAGGCTCTCCCCTGTAGAGGTTCTTCATGGTAGAATTTCCTTATATATTTCACAGTCCTTCACTCCCCCATCAGCCAGTGATGGTCTACCCCTAGGCTTTCCTTAACACATTCCTCCCCTTCCTTCTCCTGTCTTAGAAAGCTATTCATCATTTACACAGTTCAAAAACCTGGGGGAAGGAAAAGACAGTGAGTCTCCTACCCTTATGATCAGAAGTGGCACGTAAAGCCAGCCTGGATGAGATGTTCTCAATTGGTGAAACTGCAACAGAGGGCCAGTCAACAGAAAGGAGCAGGCAGGGCGAGGAGGAATCTGTGCTTCCTTGGGCTTTTATCTTTTTACGAAAGAAAGCCTCAGCCAGGTGCGGTGGCTCACGCCTGTAATCCCGGCACTTTGGGAAGCCGAGGCGGGTGGATCACCTGAGGTCAGGAGTTCAAGAGCAGCCTGGCCAACACTGTGAAACCTCGTCTGTACTTAAAAAAAAAAAAAAAAAAAATACAAAAATTAGCCAGGCATAGGAGCGGGTGCCTGTGATCCCAGCTACTCGGGAGGGTGAGACTGGAGAATTGCTTGAACCCAGGAAGCGGAAGTTGCAGTGAGTGGAGATCACACCATTGCACTCCAGCCTGGGCAACAAGAGCAAAACTCTGAAAGAAAGAAAGAGAGAGAGAGAGAAAGGAGGGAGGGAGGGAAGGAAGGAAGGACAGGAGGGAGGGAGGAAAAAAAAGAAAGACCGGCCTCTCATTTATCAGAGAATAAAAGTTTCATCTACATGCATTTTCCAGGAAATTAAATTATTTGAAAGAATTTTACAGTCCTTTTTTTGAAATGTCTTCCTAAAAATGTTTACCCTTGTCCTTGAGTTATAAAACCTGATGTAGTACCCTCATATAGACTCTCCAGGAGCTCTCAGGTCTTAGGGTGCCATATTTCTCACTGGGGCCAATTGTGCTTTTTGGGGACAGACAGGTCTCTATTGTGCACTCATTGAAGGAGGTAATATGCCAACATCCCTTTCCCTCATCTACTGACTGCTTGTACACCCTCAGTCATTGTGATAACCCCAAACTTCTCCATGTGCTTTCAGACTCTCCCAATAAGAAAATACAAACCTGGTTGAAAACCACTGTGACAACCCAGTCATTTACATGTGAGATAACTGAGGTCCAAATAGAGGGAATGATGTTTCCAAAGTCACATCTAACTAATGGTACAAAGTACCTAGGCCTCCTGATTTTGGTTTACTTCCTGTGTCCCATGCTCTGATGCCAGCACATCTGTGGAGACTGGGAGGGTTTAGTTCTTGAGCCACTGACTTACCGCTGCCCACCACATTTTGCATGTGCCCTCGTTTACTGAGTTTTCCTGGCTCTACTCAAGTAATCCTTCCTCCTTCTGCAGCTTATAGAGTGTTGGATCCAGGACTGTCAGTCTCTGGAGATCCCAATCGATCCTTCCTTCAGTCTCATTAACATTCTTGGAGATCCCTACGAGATACGGCAGTGGAACACTGATGGGCTGCCCCGTGACTTGATATCAACAGAAAATGGCATTTTGGTTACTCAAGGCAGACGATGGCCTTTGATGATTGATCCCCAAGATCAGGTGTGTAGCAAATGCTTCAGAGAGTGACTTTTGGTTCTGCTTAATGTTGAGCTAGCTATTAAAAAGTATAAAAGTGGGCTTCAATGTACTTTGAGATTTAGATTTAACGTATGTGGAGATTTAGACCCAAAAGAGAGTGTTAAAGTCTAGTCCAATTCCCTCATTTTGTGGATGAGAAAGTAAGAAAGAAAGAATTGAAGTTCTCCCATACTTGATTTTGATTAGTTTTGTTTAGGGGACTGACCATTTGTTTTTTGTTTTCTGCGAGGGCAGAAATCCACAGATCTTCATTCTTCTGTAGTCCTTGTTCCTAAAAGGTCTGAGGAATGAGATTGAAGTCAGGATATGATCGAATATTAGAGCAAGCCTGACTGGAATTTACAATTGACAGCATCCCATTTTCTGACTCCCTAAGTTCATGGATCAGGTTGTACTAAATAGGGTTTGGAAGAGGAGCCACTGTGTAAGCAAGGGAGACCAACTTGAATACCATAAGTATGATCTCTGTTCCCAGATGACTCTTTTCTTTATTTCTTCCACATCTGAACAAAAAGAAGAGTCCCAAACGTTGGGCTTAAAAGGTGTCTTTATTCCCGGGAGGCAGGGCAGTATAGTTTATATATTTCCAATTTGTTTCTAGGTTGAATAATATTTCCACACTTTCTTCTAAAGCTTTCACTTTCTAGCCATTTATTATGCTCTGAAGCAAATGTTCTACTCTGTGCTTTTCCAAACAGGCAAACCGTTGGATAAGGAACAAGGAAAGCAAAAGTGGTTTAAAAATCATTAAGCTTACAGATAGTAATTTCTTACGAATACTCGAGAATTCAATCCGACTTGGTTTACCTGTCTTACTGGAAGAGGTTTGATTTTCACTTCCTTTTCTCATGTTAGTTCCTAACTTTCAAATCATATCTGGAATCCTATATAGGCCACATCCCCGTCTTGCTAAAGACACCAGTCAACTCCATTTTCAAATTGGTCAAACCAATGCCTCTTCTCCTTAAACAATACATTATCACATTGCAAGAGGGGTAGGAGGGAGGACCTGTTGACTTTCAGACATTGTTTTAGTGTTAAGAGAGCTGGCCTCTGTTTCCCGACACTGCTGTTTCACAGGCCTCATTATAGCCCTTGATGGTGAGCTGCCCTGAAAATTCACAACAGTAATGCGGTCAGGATTATGTACATACACTAATGATATGAAGCCAGTAAAATATTCTAGTGGGTATAAACATTAATTTTTACTTGGGCGTAAGTCAGAATTGGATTGAGTGAATTAGAAAAGAATGAACTTTTGTTAAAAAAAAAAAAGAAGAAGAAGAAGAAGGAGGGAGGGCAGTGTTGTTTGTTGAGTCTAGGTGCTCCGTTTCTTTGGCTATCATTGCAAGAATGGATATTTTTGGTTTTTTTTTTTGAGACGGAGTCTCGCTCTATTGCCCAGGCTGGAGCGCAGTGGCTGGATCTCAGCTCACTGCAAGCTCCGCCTCCCGCGTTTACGCCATTCTCCTGCCAAGGAATGGATGTTTTTTAAATTGTTCCCTCACTCAAACATTATTTGAGAACCAGTGGCAAAAAATATAAATGTGGTTTCTGTCCTCGATAGCTTACAATCGAGGTGGGGACAGAGACAGTAAACAGAGAAAGAAAGAGAGAAGAAATGAGAGGGAGGGGAAGAAACTTGTGATCAAAGATTTGAAAGGGTAAAGAGGGGGCTGGTATAGTCACCAATGGGTAAGCCACCAAGGCTGGTCTGATTTAGCTATGTGGGTAAAGGGAGTAATTTAAGCTGTGACCTATGTGATGGGTTCAGCCATATGCCAGGCTTAGAGCGAAGGACTTCCCAAGCAAAGGGAACAGCACAAAGGCCCTGGGCACAAAAGAGATTGGTTAATGATCATGGTTTATTTTCCTATAAGTAATAAAAGAACAAGCGAGCAAAAACATGGGCTGTGAGTTGAGTCTCAGTTTAACCGTGCCTAGAAGTATCACTGCTTCATCAGAAAGAAAGAAAGCTCAAAAAGGCCATGGACCAGGGCAGTTTAGCTGCAGCACCTGCATGATGACGAGGAATTGTAATTAATATGTTAGCATTAACTAATATTTATTGCATATTCACTCCATGCCAGTCTCTGTTCTCAGTATTTTATGTATATTAACTCATTAATCATCACTGCCCCATCATAAGATAGTTAGTATTGTTATTCCGTTTTGTCAATGAGGAAACTGAGGTGTGGAAGGGTTACATAAACTATCCAAGCAGCCTTGCCTGCCTAGGAAATCCACAAGTTTCACTATTCCCCACTCAAGCCACAAAGAGCACAAGGGGCCTCAGTGTGACCAAGCTTGGCCTTGACCAACACGAGGGTGGTTCTGTAATAGATCCCAGTCACAGGAGAGAATGAAGTCTCTAGAAAACTTTGGCATGGGTATTTTAGCCCCAAACTGGATTCCTGAACTCAGGTTTACTTCATGACATGCGAGATCCTAAGGGACTTTCCTCTTTCATGGCAGCAGACCAAAGGTTTTCTGTGATGTTCTGCCTCTGGACAGAGAGTGCTTTAACTGTAGCAGAGTGCTCTTGGAAGAGGGGATGGGCCCTTGTCAGAGCCCCAGCCAGGAACAGGACACTCTGACTGGTCCTTCCCCACTCTCTGTGCCTTGGGGTCATCAGCATTATACACCTAGCTGTTTTCTACTTTGCTAGGGTGATATATTCAAACTTTGTCTCCACCCATTCATGGGCATGAAATCAGTTGCAACCATCTCAATCAACATTTTCAAATGAAATAGAGTTTTTTTTAATCCCAAAATTATATTGAATAAAGGTAAATTTTAACTCATAAACTTTTGTTTGAAGAATTTACATGTGTGGGTACCATGTCACAATGTAAAATAGATGTGTTACAATGGATGACAGTCAAATTTTGAAAGCCCCAGGCCATGGGACCCCATCACATATGTCCTGACATAAAGATGTTTCTGTTGGGATCCCTGGGCAATGTCTGCATGCCCACATTCCTACCAACAGTCAGATTCGCTTTGAGGAAAAAGGCATAATGGTCATGTAGAATAGGGGTTTATAGACTTTTTCTGTAGAGAGCCAGGGAGTAAATATTTCAGTTTTTGCAGGCCTCATGCAGTCTCTGTGCATATTCTTCTTTGTTTTGTTTTGGTTTAGTGTTTTTTTGTTTGTATGTTTTTACAACCCTTAGAAAGGTAAAAGCCATCTGTAGCTCAAGAGTCATAGAAAAATGGCCACACGGGGCCAGATTTGGCCTGCAGGCTGTCATTTGCCAATCCCTGGTTTTAAACAACCATGAAAATGAACAGATCTTCATTTGTGTGGGGCCAGTTGAAGTCCAACCCACAATGATTTAATCTACCGAGCTTCTCTCTTCTTCTCATGGAAATGAATAGTGTGCAAGATTAATGTAAATAGATATATTGCCTTCAGATGCTCTTATTTCCTTAGATTGCTAATAAAATGCTCACTGGAAAATAGGTACTGTTAGAGGTAGTGTGAGAATGTTAATAAATATCCATCAGATCACTGGAAAATTGTTCATTCACAGTACATTTTGAGGCCTAAGGAATTTTGTGAAGTTGGTGCTATCTATTTTAATTGCTTCTTTTTGTGTTGTCCTGTTTTGTTTTCATTTCTAAGCTTAAGGAAACCTTGGATCCAGCTCTAGAACCCATTCTTTTGAAACAAATTTTTATCAGTGGTGGCCGACTACTCATCCGTCTTGGAGACTCAGACATTGATTATGATAAAAACTTTAGGTTCTATATGACAACCAAAATGCCAAATCCCCACTATCTGCCTGAGGTATGAACTACTGGTCTGGAATTCTCAGCTTAACTGGATTATCATGGTGTAATGAATCTCTGAAGTTTGATGGGCTCCCACCCGAAGGGAAAGCTCTCCCCCTTTCTCCCCTGTCTTCTATACACTCCCCTCTCTTCCACCATCCTCCATTCTTGCTTCTCTTCTGAGCTTTGATTCTGATTCCAATCACCCTTGTCATCACCATCTAGTTAGGTTGCAAGCCCCTGCCCACTGGGGCCTAGGCCAATGCTCTGTCTCACCCCACTGCACACCTCTCCAGTGCCCTCACCATCTCCCTCCTGGTCCACAGCCACTCCTTCTAAACACAGGACATCCCCCTTTTAAACTCTCTCTTTCCTCCATCAGCAAAGACTATTTTTGTCCCTGTTATTATGACTAATGAATGAATCAGAGCTTAGTTGAGAGTCCATGGGGCTGGGGTGTGGGGGAGGAGGAGGTGTCATTATTTAAATGTGCAAATGCCCACAGCATATGTGCCCAAATGAAGAGGTCACCCATTTGAAAACTCTAGGAACAAGACAACACTAGAGAATCATGATCTAGAGGTCCAGTGTCTACACTTAGAGTTATGGGTGGTGGGGGTATCTTGTCCCCTTCTCATGCTCTTAGATTCTTTGAGAGGAGCTGTGTGAGCTCCACTCCATACATACGTCCCTGAGACTCAGAAGACTCTAGAAGAACCCCTACTCTAGTACTACAGTGTCCAAGGTAGTTGCAACAGAAATGAAGACAGCTGGAACTCCATTGCCCCTCCCACAGATCTCCCACGGGGCTCTCCCTGGCCACAACCCCCCTCACATGCCCAGGTGCTGCCCCAGCTCCTGGCACATCTGTGCACTCTGCAGGCTCTTACCTAGGAAAGGAACTTGACCTCAGAACTTTACTTCTTCACCACCACAACCCTCCCAAAAATACCCTTAAATATACCATTCCAAAGAGTGTCACTTTCATTTTAACTGTTGAATTGCTCATAGCTATCTGTCTTCACCAGATGTGTTCAGGTTGAATGAAATTGACACACTTCTTGAATAAGATGGGGAAATATCATTGAAAGTTTAAGTGAGGATTTTCCTCGTCAGCCTCAAGGAGTTTAATTACACAGCCACTACCGAGGCTCATGTCCCAAGTCCCATTTCAGAGTTTAGAAAAGTGACCAACATTACCAGAGGCTGGGAAGGAGAATGGAGGGGAGCAGGAAGGTAGGGATAGTTAATGTGACAAAAATATAGTTAGATAGACTAAATAAGATTAATAAGATTTAGTATATAATAGTGCAACAGAGTGACTACAGTCAACAATAATGTATTGTACATTTTAAAATAACTAACAGAGCATAATTAGAATGTTTTTAACTCAAAGACATGATAAATGCTTGAGGTGGTGGATACTGCCCCCAAAAAAGAAGTGCGACCAATGTGCCAACTTTCACTCTTTGATTTCTCACTTATTTAACTTTTGAGAGTGTGTATTGCCCACAAGACCCAAGCCTAGCTCTGTCACGGGGTCAAATTATCCCATTTCCAGGATCCTCAAGTCAATCATCTCTAAAAAGAGATCAATCCTACTTCAAGGATTTTGTAATAAGATAAATATTACAAAATTACAATATGTAATTTACCATATTACAAAATCCTTGAAGTACAATGCCATGTGTTCATTCACACACCCTTGTTATACTTACTGGTTTTTGCTATTGACTTATCAAGTGATGTTGGAATATATTATAGTAATAATTTTTCATTAAAATGTTATTAGACAAAATATATAAAACTTTGTTTATTATCAATAATAGCTTCTTTCAAGCAAAGACACATTGTGTCATAAGTAACTAAGTGATTTTATTACCTCATTTAGTTCTCACAGCTACCCTATGAGTTTTTACTATAATTATCCAAATTTTTAAATATCAGAAACTAAAGCTCAGCACAGATGAGTGGCTCGTCCAAGATGACACAGTCACTAAAGGGTGCAGCTCAAATTTGAACCCAAGCTATCAGTTCCAAAATACTGCTTTTAATCCTTCACTGGCTCACCTTTCCATAAAACACGATCTAGGATTCTGTAACTGTGGTGTCTGAGGAACAAGATTGTTACTCATATTGGCAGCAAAAAATATGAGGATTTAATAAGCAACATTACACCTGAAGTATGTGTGGGGATAGGTGTGTGTGCAATTAGACCTGAGATACATCCACCTGGGTAGTAATGAGCCGTGTTCTAATAAAGAAAGGTATTTTATTAGTTTGCACTTAAGCTTTTTTATGCACTCTGTGCTTCTCTTCCAGGTATGCATTAAAGTTACCATTATCAATTTCACTGTAACAAAATCAGGTCTGGAGGATCAGTTGTTAAGGTAAAAAACCAGGGAGTTGGGGGAAGGGAAGGGAGTGTCGTGGGTTTCCTAAATATTTTGTTTAGAAATATTGACAAAGAAAATTTTCTGCTGTGTGAAAACGCTACACATGAAACCTTAATCAAAAAAAATACAAGTAAGTGGCCAAGTTCTTTACCGTTTCCGTAGCTGCTCAGAGCAGCTGATCTTGTCTGCTGTCTTCTCAAGGACGTCAAGGATAGACCCTTAATTCCCCACCCCCACTGTTTGAACCAGGCTGGCAGCCCAGCCCTGCCTCTTCCCTTCACTAGGATTTCCATCTTGGGCAAGTGAACGAAGTCAGTCTTTCTGTTGTTCCTAGAAATGCAGTGGTCCGTACCTGTGAAAAAGCAGCTTCTCCAAACATACTTGTTCCAGCTTCACTGGTCTTTAGGTGGTTTCTTAGTGTATTTAACTGTCCACTTCAAATATATGTGTGTGTGTATATATGTATTCTTAGTATAGTCTGTATGTGATTAAATCCCTATTTCACAAATATTAGATTGTGAGTTGTTAATATTAATCATCAAAATTAGCCAAGAGGTTCAGGAAACAAATTTTTAAAATATTTATTAAAATAATAACATTGAGGTTGATTCAAAATTAATTTTATATTTAATATATATTTAACCAACAGATATATACACATATGTATGTATACAGGAATACATACGTATGTATTTTTATTCACTATAAAGAAACATATACTTTAGACCCATGTTCAAAAGAATTATCCCTTATATTCAAGTCAAGATCATCCTGACTTACCCATGTTGTCACTAATGAGCTTGAGTCTTATTTCTCTAGCTTGTTTTAGGAATTATTCTGCTAGCTGCTAACTTGCTTACCTTCCACTAGGATAACTTCTTTCCAATTAAAGGTTATATCACCATATTTTATGAATACATTGTAAGGACTTGGCTGAACATTTTGCATACCAGTTTATTCCTGTGCATAGTTAAGCTCAGCTGTGTCACTAAGCTCCCAGCATGTTAGGCTGCCTGGGACAAGAAGGAAAAGTGCCCTGATAAGAACACAGGAAATGCTGGGACTCAGTCATGGTGTGCAGTATCTCCCTGCTATTTCTCCTAGATTGATGGCATTGAAAAGGGAGGCTCACAGCCCTCAGCCAGGGTGAGGATGGAGCTGGGTCTGCCTGTGTTCTGACAGGCCGTCACCTATTTCAGTTGCCCTCTGCTCTGCTGAGCTCCTGAACAGGCAGTGATACTCATTGTGCTCAATTGCTCATTGCAATTTTCCTCAGATCCTCTCCATTTTGAACACCACAGTTCACCTCCCTGCCTCCTGGAGAATGCCAACCACAATGCCTTAGTCCTTCTGAGGCAGCACAAGGCCATTTTTCAACTTCAAGGAATTCCATTCAGCCACCCAGACTGTCCACCTCCTTCTGTCTTCCTTTCTATTTCCAGAAACTCTAACTCACCTCCTGACTTTTGGCAGGCTCTTTTGATTCTTAACTTGACTAATTCGATTAATGTTTCTCTCAAACTGTTTCCTGAGCTCACCTTTATCTTAAAATATTCCTTAAACCACTGTCTTCTGAAAAACTTATTTAAACAATTGAATTTGAGGTTATGATTTTTAATATTCTTTATATAATAATTTGAAGGTGTCTGAATTCTGCATGTAACAAGTAAATAATGGGTTGTTACTTGAGGCAGCATACTAGTAACGGTGCATGCTGGAGCCAGCAGACCCAGGCACAAGCCCAGCTTCTCATAGCCATGTGATCTCAGGAAGTGACCCACTAGAGTCTGTTTGCGCATCTGCAAGCTGGGGGTGATAACCAAAGTGCCCACCTTATGGGGGCATTCAAAGGATTAATAGATAATCCACATAAAACTCTTAGCAAGGTGCATTGCATTGAGTAGTGCTTAATAAAGATTAACTCTTACAAATGGAGACTGGGAGCAAATTGTGAAAGAACAAGTGAAGGGAGATATAAATTCACATGTTTATACAAGGGTGAAGCTGGAGGTAAGGCTCTTTTTTCATATGCAATCAAAAATTATTTCATGAAGGTGATGTGATTTCAGAATCTCCCATGTTGGTACAGAAAGAATATTCAAGGCATCATAAATATTCCAGGCACCATTTTCTTCTTAGCACAAGCAAGCGTTAGAGATAGAAATTGAATGATTAGAGAGATCAAGTATTAAGCGGGTCTTCCTAAGAGATGAGCAGAAGGTATGGAAACTTCAGTAGCATGCATCTCTAAAATACAAGATGAAGGATCAGAATTGACATGTAGCTGAGTCAGAAGCTTCTGTGTAAACCCAGCAAAAGAGACATGGTATGCATTCAGATTCGGCCATCAGCATTAATGCTCAGCTAAATAGTATTAAGAATAAGAACAATTACAAGCAGAGAAAGAAAAATAGAAGCAACTTTGAGGCACTGGCAGAGACATAATTTAGGTATCTGAACTTTGGTTTTAGTGATGTGGTGCGACTTGAAAAACCCAAGTTGGAAGAACAAAGAATCAAGCTCATCGTGAGGATCAACACTGATAAAAACCAGTTGAAAACTATCGAAGAGAAAATCCTGAGAATGCTCTTTACCTCTGAAGGAAATATTCTGGACAATGAAGAACTTATTGACACACTGCAGGATTCAAAGGCAAGTAAAATATTTTTAGTATTTATGGAAAGTATGTTACTTCAAAAGTTATAACTACAGCCTTTGAGGGTCCTGTAAGGGCTTTTAAAGCAAGATGGGGGCCACACTGGGCTTCCATGGACACACAGATGGATGCCTGCCTGTCAGGGCTCCTTGCCAACCACAGAAACTTGGAGAAACTGTAGACCACCGCTCCTCTTGTCTTGTCTGCATTTCTTAAATAAAACACATAATGTAAACAACTGGGACAAGATATAAATTGAAAGGAACAAACACAACAAACTTTCATATGAATGCCATCACCTGCAGGAAGCCTCTCTCTGATATTCCCAGTTGGAACTAACTTCCTCCTCCTCAGAACTTCTATAGTGTCTTATCTGAATCTCTACTACAGCACTTGTCACTGTTTACCCTATGTCACAGTTATCCAATTACATGGCTTATCTCTTCTGTTGGGTTGTTAAGTTCTCTGCAGTGGGAATCTGTGAATAGTTCATTTTGATATTCCTTCTCCAAGGATTACACATGGTGGTTGCACACAATTGGTACTCAACAAAAACGTGTTGATAGTAAGATGAAGTTTTACCTTAAACTTAAAATTCTTCAGTAAATTATTTCTCAGATTCAAACCGTCATTTAAGGAGTGTTTACTAAGAACACAGCTTACAAAATGATTTTCATCCACTTGTGAGAAACAAAATAATTTACTAAAACAAATCCCCTTGACTTTATTAAGCCAGAAGCACATAGGTTATCTTTTTTGCTTTTGTTGACATCAAAACTGGTTGACTGCTTTATATCGTACCGCCCTTGAGATTGCAGTATTAAAACAGTAATAAGCAAGTAATTTGGGGCCTCTGTTTTCTTCCTCTCTCCTTTAGCTTTTTTGTTAATAGATCTCTTTATCCTCCTCTCGTTTATTCTTCCTTGGGATTTTTATTCCTGGCAGTTGTCTGTTAACCCACTTGTTTTTATTTTTAGCAAAGTTTTACATGCCAACTCTTTAAAGAATGAAATATTTCTACAAGGCTTATTACAAAAAATAGCATTCCCTGCCTTCTCTTCCCACCAGCCACCCATGCCTCCCTTCACAGAGGCAGCTTTCTTGATTTTTTGTTTTTTGTTTTTTATTTTGTTTTGTTTTGTTTTGTTTTGAGACAGGGTATTGCTCTGTCACCCGGGCTGGAGGGCAGTGGCATGATCATGACTCACTTCAGCCTTTAACTCCTGGGTTCAACCCATCCCCCTCCATCAGCCTCCTGAATATCTGGGACCACAAATGCACAACACCATGCCCAACTAATTTTTGACTTTTTTATTTTTTATTTTTTGTAGAGACAGTGTCTCGCTATGTTGCCCAGGCTAGTCTTAAACTCCTAGCCTCAAGCAATCCCCCTGCCTTGACCTCCCAAAGTGTTGGAATTACAAGAATGAATCACTGTGCCAGCCAAAGCAGCTACTTTCATTTTGCATCTTAACTGTTACCTGTACCCCAGCGCGCGCGCGCGCACACACACACACACACACACACACACACACAGACACACACACACCCCTTCCCATCCTCTGGCCTCCCACTGTAGTTATATCCTGATTATAATAAATGTTAACATTGCCTAAGGGTGAAGATCTGGCTATAAGTATTTGGGGTCTGAGAGGAGAAGAAGGGCTAGGGTCTTAGCATCCAGTGTGCATACAGTCACCCAGTCACTCTGTTTTAGTTCCTTCCTTCCGTCAAAAATCCCTCTGTTTTACTTTCTCCAAAGGAAATTTCTATTTTTTCTGCCAGGATGAGAAAGGGACAAACCCCTGGCCGTGGGTGGCGTAGGAAGATGACCTAGGGAGTCCTACCACCAATTCTTATTTTAAGCCCTTCCCACTTCCAAGAGTGCTTCTTGCACTAATTCTTAAGCCTTTGAGGAGGATTCTGTTTTATAAATTGGGTGAGTTCATGGCTATCCACTTTTGCCAGTGTAGGAATCCATTTTTATGGGTGTGCTAAGTCATTGCCACCCTTCTGTCTGCTTTCCAGTTCCCAAAATTCATTGATATTTCCTCTCCCATTCTTCCTATCTTTATGGGTTTACTCTGCATTTTTAAGCCTTTTCCTACAATTTTAATGTAGCTTCAGTAGGAAGTGAAGGTAGATACACATGCAATGACTGCCATCTTTATCTATAAGCTGGTTTATTTGTTTTGCAAGGAGCTGCCTTGGAGTCATCCTTTCTATAGAGCAGGGATCAAACTGATCCTTGGCTGCATTTCCTGCCACTTCTTGGCTACAGTTTATATGCCTCTCAACTCTCAGAATCCTTACATTAAAATATGTCTTATATTCTCTAAACGTGGCTGAAACCTCAAGTCTGTAGAGCATAGTGTCTACAAGTAGTTGTCAAACTCAACAGAGGCATATAGTATTGTAATATTCTTTGGCAAAGAGAAGAAAACGATCCACTTTCCTTCTCTTTAGCCCTGGGTTCTACATTATCAGTGCCTTGTGCTCCCTAAGACATAAAGAATTATTTGTTAGTGGGCCTGCATGATCCACCAGCTGCTCCCATATCAACTTTTTTTTTTTCTACTTGGATTTGAAAGCTTTAGTTGAGTCCCATATTAAGATAGGGGTTTCCTACTCAACTCTGCCCTTTATTTCCCCTTCAGCTCCCTAAGGGGATATTACAGGGAGAGTTTGAACTTTCTGATTCCTGGAAACAGCGTCCGCACTGAATCCTTCCCCTCCCTTTCCTGGTGGGCTGGGGTAAACAGTCTAGATTTATACTCTTTATTATGGTAGGTAGCCACTAGCCATAGGTGGCCGTTGAGCACTTCAAATATGGCTAACCTGAATTAAGATGTGTTGGTAGTGTAAAATACACAACAGATTTCAAGGGCTAAATCCAAAGAAACAAAATATCTCAGTAACTTTCATGTGGATTATATGTTGATAAAATATTGGGGGTATATTAAAAATATATTATTAAAATTAATGTCACTTATTTTTTATTTTTAATAAATTTAGAAAATGTATGATTACGTGGCTCACATTCTATTTCCATTGAAAAGCGCTGGTCTATACGGGAACTTGATGATTCCTTTTAGCTTTGATGGAGCAAATACTGAGCAGTCAGTTCCCTTGATGATTTTTCATGGTCCCTGCTCTAGACCCTTTGACTTTCTAGAGACAAAAGGATCTCCCAACCTAGGGATATCCACCTCTGAAAAACAGTGGGGGAAGGGAGAGGAGGCAGGGACAGACAGCAGTAGAAAGAGAGAGACTGAGAGATACAGAGAAGGGAATCTTGAAAGTACACTGGGCAGAGGGCTCCCCAGACCCACAAACCCAAAATGCAGAAAACCAAAAGACCTTGAAAGCATCTCTAACTCACTTAGGGTTATAATCCTCCACAAACAACAGCTTCTATCCCATATGTCTATACCTGGGAATACTAGGTAAAGAACAAGAATATTAGTCACCCTTGTTATTCCAGGGAGGGATGTGGTGCCACTCACTGCCTCCAAGCCACTCTCTACTCCCTTCTTTCAGGCATTTTCCTGGGTATCCCTTCTCCTTTTATTCCTTCATTCATTGTGCGAGCCCTGGACTGCTCACAAAGAAGTTCGGGAGCAATTCAGAGTGCTACGATAGTGTTTGCATTGCAGGAGTAACTCAGATTGAGTCTCAGAGACGTGCTGCTTCTATGTTTTCAAAGCTACTTGTATTGCTTGCTGTCCTCTGCCTATTCCTAACTCTGGAAGAAGAAAGGTCAGCTTATTCAGAAGGTCAATGAACTCTGAGACTCAGTCATTCCACCTGGGGACCCCTTACTATAATCACCAACTCATTCTATCCTTATTTCTTCCCTAGACCTAACTGCATACATTCCAGATGTCCCACTATTTTTCTGGAACAGATCCCTAAGAACTTGTTATTGTATGTTTATTCAGATCACTTCTGGTGCCATTAAAACCAGGCTGGAAGAAGCAGAGTCCACTGAGCAGATGATCAATGTGGCTCGTGAGAAGTATCGTCCAGTGGCCACTCAAGGCTCTGTAATGTACTTTGTCATTGCAAGCCTCTCAGAAATAGATCCTATGTACCAGTATTCATTAAAATATTTTAAACAGGTAAGTATGTTCTTGTTGTTAATGAAAGTCATCTCTTTGGCCTCTATTACACCTGTTGAATTACTTCTTGCCTCACACAAGCCATAAGTCTAGTTATCAGGTAGAATCTCCCAGGTGCACACATGGTTCAAGAGTGGTTCCAGTCAGGCATAGTGGCTCACACCTGTAATCCCAGCACTTTGGGAGGCCAAGATGGGTGGATCACCTGAGGTCAGGAATTACCCTGGCCAACATGGGGAAATCCCATCTCTACGAAAAATACAAAAATTAGCCAGGCATAGTGGCGGGTGCCTGTAATCCCAGCTACTCGGGAGGCTGGAGCAGGAGAATTGCTTGAACCCAGGAGGTGGCTGTTTCAATGAGCCAAGATCGTGCCACTGTACTCCAGCCTGGGTGACAGAGCAAGACTCTCAAAAAAAAATTTTCTTAATTTTAAAAAAAGAGTGGTTTCACCAGCCCTTCCAAAGATGCGGTTTTTAGAATAGAGTTAGTGATTATTATATATATATGTGTGTGTGTGTATATAAAATTTAGAATTTTTTTAAAGATTTGATTGCCCAGTATGCACAGAACACTGTAGAGGAAGAGAAGAAAGCTGCTTTGCAAGTTTCATTTGCTCCTGACTTCCTTAACTAACTAGCATGCTTATTTTCCTTCATGCCTGCCTTTCTTTCTTAAGAGTCACAGCTCAGTCCCATTTCTTTAGACATCCTCTGCAGTAATCTAGATTCCTTTCCACTGTTAGTGTTTTCTGTTGTATCTCAAGTCCGAACAGCACTGACCTTAACCAAATTAGTTTAAGTATCTTTTATTTCCCAAACCTTTTATGCAACAACCTGTCCCTCTTCCTTCCCTGCGCCCACTTTTGACTTAGAGGGATCTCTTTCCTTTGTTTCTGTCCCACTTTCACCGTATGACTATGAGACCCTTGTTTTATTTCACCCTCTCTTCTTTATCTCATATTCACAGTTGAATTTCATCTGCTGTCTCATGAGTAGGATGTTTTCACTCCTTATCCTCTTTGTAGCAGCATTCGTTTTTTCCAAAAGCAAATTCAATGCCACAAAGCTTCAGCAGGCGATGTCAATTTTGCTGAAGACTTCCAGGGAAGACAGAGAGTTTGCATTACTCACTACACAGCAAGACCTACCAAGCATCTGCATCAGAGGTTCTCTCCAGAGGTTCACTCCAGAGGTTCTCTCAGGTGCCAGTGGCCTCCTCTCAGCCCACCCAACCACAGCCTCCCTGGCTCAGTCTTCCCGTCAGCTCCTACTCCCTCTTGGCAGTGCTATCTCCTTTTCTGGGCAAAACGGTTTAACTTACTCTTACTTTTCTGTTCATCCATGCTTATACCCTACCCATGACATAACTCAGTCAACAAAGGCCTCTCCCTCCATATGTGCCACTCAGTAGAAAACAGTGGAGAATAGTAAACATAAAGCTCTTTCCCTGCAACACATCTCTATTTCCTGTTATATGCCCCTGTATAGTCAATGCTGGCTCACACACCTGGAAGCCAGGCCAGTCTAGGCCTAGTGTTTTCAAAACACTATTCCACAGACCTAGGTCCTAAATGAATTTTCACAGATATTGCCCATCAACACAATTTAGACTCTATAACCTGGAATTCAAAGCCACATCCAGCCTGTCCCTGTTTCATCTCTCCAGTCACATTTCTCACAACTCCTGTGCAACAGCCAAATTGATCCATTTACATTCCCAAGACTAACTGGATGCTTTTGTGTTTCTGACACTCCCTCTGTTTGGAATGCCCTTCCTCCCAACCCAAATGCCACCTTCTCCACCAAAGCCTGCTACTGGGACTGCAAACATCTAGAGGCTGACTGGAATGAACATCCAAAATGGCTGACTCACATGGCTGGGCTGTCACCCATGGCACCTGCAGTAGCCTCTCCATGTGGCTTGGGTTTCTCACTACAGGGCAACTGGGTTCCAAGAGGGCCTCTCCCCAAAGTAAATGTTCAAAGAAACCAAGATGGGAGCTCTAGGACTTCTGACCTAATCTTGGATTTCATGCAACATCAATTCGGCTACAGTCTTTTGGTCAATCAAATCACTAGGATAGTCCAGGTTTGAGAGAAGGGGATTTGGACTCCACCTCTCAATGGGAAGAGTAGCAAACAGTTTCAGCAGTCTTTATCCAAAACATTTGACATGCTTCATCTGGCATAATGTACCCCACTTTGCCTTGTGTGGTTTTCTTCTGTCTCCTGCTGGAGCCTGAACTCCCAGGAGGCAAAAATGAAGCTTTACCCATCCCATATCCCCAATGGTGCTTAGCGCCACCTAATGCTCATGAGTGTTTCATGAATGAAGAGTCTGTTTTGATCTCTGCATATAACATTCCAACAATTCTTCTTGAACTTCAAATAGTCAAACAATTCTTATGACAGCTTGATTTTTTTCTCTAGAGGTCTTATTTAGTACCCTTGATAATGGTTGGAGGTCCAGGAACAATTTCTGTTTCCAGGAGAGATTGGAAATGAGGAATTGAAAGAAATGGGAGTCAAATTGTTTAGATAGGCCTGGGCTGTCTTTCAACCAGATGTTCATTTTAGCAGCCTTTAAAAGCCATCTGTGCTGGGTTCAAACCTCAATTCCTAGAGGCAAGGGTTTGGGTTCTCATATCTCTGCTCCCTTCCTTTAGTTGGCAGGTATTAACACAAGCAAAATAAGGATTACCAAATCCTGTAATGCCACCTAAATGACTTTTTGACAATACTTTTCTTATCCTGGGTGTTTTGGAATTTATACTCTTCAAGGTTTTAAAATCTCCTTCAAGAAATAAAAGTGAAAAGGCCCTAAAATATCTTGGGCTGAAAGTAAAAGCGATACTGGATGAATCATCAAAGCTCTGGAGTTCTACAGATTAGAAGGGAAACCAGAAATCCAAAACATATTTGTAGATGACAGTCTTGGCCAGGATACCCTCTACCAAACCCATTTCACAGTGAAATTCTTTAGAGAATTTTGAGATTTACCGGTTGTATTTTGGTACCATATTTATCACATATTCACTGGGCTTTAACCTCTATGCTTCTTGTCAGGTTGTTAAAGAGGGCTGAGTCCTCTTTTCTCCTGAGTGTGTTAAAACAAAACTCTATTACCCTTGTCAACCAAACTTTCAGGAGAATCAACAAGGACTTTCCCAATTCCCTACAATAATTGTAGGCTTCCTCTAAGCCCTTTTAACGTGGGGGAATGGAGACCTATTTTGGTGAGGAGACTGACACAATCAGGCCCTTTCCCTTTGTGCTCCATCCTATTAGTAGAAGAGGTGGGTAGGAGAGGCCTGCACAGCCTCAGCACAGTATTTCTAGGAAGGAGTGGAGGACACGTCTTGACTCTGATCTGCTTTGGTCCTTAGCGGGCTTCTAGCTGCCAGTCTGTTTTGATTGGTCTGCCCTCACCATGAACATATATCTTGATCCCAGGGATTGGGCAGGTACTACCTCACTTCCCACTTTACCCCTCAGGCTGCGGATCCTGAGACCACACGCACATGCTCCTCAGGGCCCTGGTGGGACTTCCCTGAGTCTCTGCTGCAAGATCCCTCCTTGTTCCATGACTTCCATGGAAGGCCACATATTCAGGCTCTGCTCAGCTTCCTCACACAGCTTGGGACCTTTAGAAATTTTTGATCTTCCTTCCACTCCACTTAGAAGTTGCAGAAAATGGGTAGGACTACGTCAGGCCTAATCCCTCAATGCCACCATCTCTACTGCCTTACCAATGTCTTTATAATATGGGGCACCTTTGTGGTAGTGATTCTCCTTTCAAAATTTACAGGTAGGAAACAGGGTAGAAATCTCCTTTAAAATCACCAAAATCAGTTTCTCTTAAATTTCAAGGAAAATTCTAGCACATTATTTCTACACCCTAAGAATTATCTTGGGGAAGTGCTAAGAAATAAGCATGAGCTTACCTTGCTCTTACATCTCTCACCCCAAAATGCAGGGTTTATCAAATCTGGGTTGAAGATGTTAAAAAACTGGTCCTGCCAGCTCACCACCATTTTCCAAAGTTTCATGTCTCATATCAAGATGATGCTTTTGAATATTGTCAAGAACTTGGCATTAGTCCATTTCTTAAAAATAGGAGAGAAAGGGGAGTGTAGAAAACAAATATCATATATCACTTTGGGATAAATTCTAGACTTTTTCATAGTACAGTAAGTCCTCACTTAATGCTGAGAATAGGTTCTTGGAAACTGTGACTTTGTTAAACAAAATGACATATAATGAAATCAATTTTTTTGGTCTCATCAGTGTAATAGCAAAATGACTTTGAATGCAAGGTTGTTCATAATTCAAAGACCTGCTGTGCATAATTTCACTTAAAGCCACAGTTTCCAAGAACCTATTGGCCACATTGAGGACTTACTGTATTCATCTCCCGTGCTGCCGTTTACTCACTGAATGCGAACAAGGGAGACAGAGATTTTTTCTTCTCTACAGAGAATGAATTAAATCAGAGACATTGATAGAGCTCTCTTTCACAGTTGTTCAATACCACCATTGAAACTTCTGTAAAGACGGAAAATCTACAACAGCGCCTGGACATACTGCTAGAACAAACTCTCCTAACTGCTTATGTCAATGTTTCAAGAGGACTTTTTGAACAACATAAACTCATCTACAGCTTTATGCTCTGTGTTGAGCTGATGCGTCAGCAAGGAACCCTAACTGATGCTGAATGGAATTTCTTTCTCCGAGGTTCTGCAGGATTGGAAAAGGTACCTGATTCTCATTTAGATGATGATTCATATGGTCTGGCTGTGTCCCCACCCAAATCTCATTTTGAATTGTAGCTACCATAATTCCCATGTGCTGTAGGATGGACCTGGTGGGAGATAACTGAATCACGGGTGCAGTTTCCCCCATACTGTTCTCGTGGTAGTGAATAAGTCTCATGAGACCTGATGGTTTTATAAGGGGAAACCCCTTTCACTTCGTTTTCATTCTCTCTCGCCTGCTGCCATGTAAGATGTGCCTTTTACTTTCTGCCATGATTGTGAGGCCTCCCTAGTCACATGGAACTGTGAGTCCATTAAACCTCTTTTTCCTTATAAATTACCCATTCTCAGCTATGTCTTCATCAGCAGCATGAAAACAGAATAATACTATGATCGTTATTCTAGATAGAGCCCACAAGCACCTACCAGTGCTCGGTGGTGACTCTGGTGGCTGAAGGCCATACATTTGGCTGTGTGGTCCAGTGGAGGGGAATTGAGGTCAGGAGGCCCATGTTATAACTCAGTTCTGCCTCCAACTAACTGTATAATGTATCATTTAGCCTCTGTATGGAGCACTGTCCTCACCTATAGAAAAGGAATGTTGGGAGTAACCAATGAGCTAATAGAAGTGAACATGTTTTGAAAAGCTGACCCTCTTACAAATGTAAAGAGTTAAAATCCAGTAAAAGTTGTAATTCACAGACTTAGCAATAGTTTTTTTAAAAACCATGACCCTCTCTTGCCTGGAGATACATCTCATTATAAAGCATGGGAAGTGACAAAATGACTTGATTGTCACCTTCTGTAATACTGTAAAACGAGTTCTGCTGCAGTTCCCTTCTTCGTGTTCATCTGCTCCTCCTGCTTGCTCCAGTCCCTTAAACTGGCCTAACCCACACACGTACCACAAAGCTAGTGGCCCACAGAGGTGAGCCCCTAAACCTTGCCTACAATTTGGTCTCTTCTCCACTCTAAATTCTTGGCTCTGTCCAACTCTGCAAGTCTCAAGTCCTGTCCTTGGCCCCTGCAGACCTGACATCTGCACCTGTTTGCCAGTATTTGAACCCCAGTGTATCACTAGGAGGTTGAACCTGATGCTTTTATTTGACTCGCAGTACCCCATGCTCCCAGAAAAAGTCCAGACAAGACGTCTCTAGCAGATGTTCCTTCCTCCCTGACCCCCATCCATCTTGCATACACACATATTCTGTGACTCCTCTCTTAATGTGTCTTATCCTCATAATCACAGTTCATATTCACAGAGAGCTTGCTATGTGTTTTATATATATCAACTCCCTTATTCCTCTCAGTATTCTTCTTGGGTAATTTCCTAATTTTTATCTCTAGTCTATGATAAGATAGTTAGGCACAGAAAGGTTAAGTAACTTGTCCTGATCACACACTTAATAGGACCTGGAACCAGGATTTGAACACAGTCTATAAAGCCTGCTCTCTTAGCCAGTTCACTCTACTGCTGACTCTTAGCCACTCAGCCAGGCCCTGCCCTGTGTGCTTTCGCCTTCCTTCCTCACTGCAGCCTTGTCAACAGCTCTTCTTACAGTTTTCTCACACAGAGACTCAAAGAGGTTAAAGAGCTTTCCAAAAGCACACTAGTGCATGACACAGTCTTATTCAAACCTGTGTCTGAGCTCCCAAAGCCATGTCCATTCCAACACCATCTACTTCTCATGAACAGCATATTTTGAAAAGTTTAAAATATGTTTTAAATACCATCAAACTCAAAACTTAAAATTACCACCGTCAGAAACTTCTCTGAATTATTTTTAATTAAACTGTCTTTTTCCTCATGGTAGACTTAAGGAAATTGGAAGGATTCTTGACTAATAATTATTTTTAGAAATGTATTTGGGGGCATATTTTATATGGCCACTTCATTTGACATTTTGACACTAGTATTTTCTGTTTTTATCGTAAGTGCTACATTGTTTTTTGCTACATTCGTTAGGATCTAAATTAGATTTTCTGGAATAACCTTGGAAGCCAACTTCCATACATAAAACTTTTTCTGTGGAAAAATGTGCACTGAGTTCCAAACACCTATGACAAGATTGTATCATTATGCAAGGAGTTGGTGCAACAAAAGGACTCTGGAAGAGACCTAGAAAGAATAAAAGATGAGTGTCCAGGATGGGAGGAGAGAGAGGAAGGAGATACATGCCCCATGGAATCTGGAGTTGACTGGATGCACTAGATAAAGAAAATCCAGAGGAGAAAATCCAGATGACCTTTCTAGAAGGTCGCAACAACAAAAGGCAGGGGGAGATGCTGTGGTCTGCAGCTGGAGACTGGCTGTTGTGAGCAGAAGTAAGCATTTCCAGGATTGAACCACAACAGTTAGAATTTAGGGACAAATAGAAACAACTGGAACCAATACACAAAGCCTCAAGCATCTGCAGGTTTCTATTACGTGTGGACAAGGTAAATGGATTTCTGCAAATTGAGGTCTCCAGGCTATTCTCATTGGTTATATTCAGTCTGTACAACTAATGTTTTTAAACGATGATATTTTAAACAGGGGTGTCCAGTCTTTTGGCTTCCTTAGGCCGCATTGGAAGAAGAATTGTCTTGGGCCACACATAAAATACACTAATGATAGCTGATGAACTTTAAAAAAAAAATCGCAAAAGAAAAATCTCATAAGTTTTTAAGAAAGTTTACGAATTCGTGTTGGTCCACATTCAAAACCGTCCTAGGCTGCATGTGGCCTGTGGGACAAACATTTTTTAAAGCATTTTCTCTTAATGCCAGGAATCCAAAAAATGATGCTAGCATGTAATTATAGCATAACCGGAAAACTTTACATGATATCTATTTCCTGGAAAATTCATTAAAATTTGCACAGACCAGTGATTTGTTTTACACATTATTATTAGAGATCAAAATACAGCAAAACCACTCAGAATTCTGCATTAGATATTTGTAAATGCCTGTGAACATTAACTAATCTAAGAGTCTTTGAGGGGTTTATCTAGGATCAAGATGTAACACAGGGAAATGCCACTTTCAGCATGACAGTGTGAGGATCTTCACATACCTGCTCCCCAGCAAAACTGTTGAAAATTATGTAAGGATCATTTAAAGTATCTGGAAATGGTCCCAGGCACATACAGCAAATGAATAAACATTTATTTGAGATAATTTATTAGAGGCGTAGTAAGGACAGCAAGAGTCTGTGGTCTTTGAACCTAGACCCACTGCCTCCCTTCCTGCTCCCAGCTTAGTGAGACAGGAACTGCACTCCAGACTGATGCAGCTAAGAGCACAGGGCTCCTGCTTACTCCCCACTGCCAGTTAAAGGGCCATATTCCTGAGAAAGACAAGACATCAGCATTTTTCATCCTGCCCACAGCTACCTACTGCTGAAGCTAAGTTCCAGTTGAGTGCAGCCAAAAGGTAGGGCTGCCTTCTTCCACCCAGCCCCCACTGGGGAGACTGAGGCTTCACGTTTGGTGCAGCATCACTGTTGTCCCAGCTCCTAAGATAGTAGTTCATCAATGGCAGAGGCAAGCTGAGGAGACCTGAGGCTACTGTCTTCCCACCCATGGCATACTCAGCTCCTGGAATATGCCTCTGCGAAAAGTGCAACATTGTCATGCCCCTGGCTTGGAGATTTTGCCTGAGTGAGAGAAGCAACCCATAAAACAGATAGTTCCTTATCTCCTCACAGAGTAACTGACTTCATTTCCAACACAGTATGGAAAAGTTTAAGCCTAATGATGCTCTCAAAAACAATAAAGGTTGTAGTGAAAGGCAATTGAAAGGAAACTGATGGAATTACCGGACAGAGAGCCAACACTATAAACCAGCTGGTTTGCCAGAGATTAAGAGAAGACACTGAAGCCTGCCAAAGACCAGAAGAAAACCCAAACACTGACTTTAGCAACTCCTTCAAAGGGGCCCAAATTTGAATGTTTTAGTCTGAGGAGAAATTTGTCTCCAAGAGCATTGTTAAAAGCATTAGACCAATCAGCCCACAATTAGTGGTGCTTGACAGCTAGATACAGTCAAGGAAAGAAACTATCAAAAAGAGCCCTGAAAAAGCTATGAACATCCCAGGGTAACTGTGGGCATTCCTAAGGCTGCACCCCTTGAGGAGCAACATTAGAGGCTTAATGTTGTACAGGGGTTGTGGAGAGACTCCACTAAAATAATCCAGTCAGTTATTAAACAAATAAGCAAGTAACAGTAAGAAGCCTTTGGGGAAAGGGTGCATGCTCAGAGTTGCTACAGTGCATTACAGGTTGAGTATTCCTTAATTCAAGATGCCTAGGCCCAGAAGCACTTCAGATTTGGGGTTTTTTCAGTTTTTGGAATACTTCCATTATACTTACTGGTTAAACATATGTCTGCACAAAAATTTGGACACGAATATTCATAACAGCATTGTTTATACTAGTCAAAAGATGGAAATGTCCAAATGTCCAATAGCCCAAATGTCCATCAACTGATATATAAATAAAATGTGGTGTATTTATACAATGGAATATTGTTCAACCATAAGAAGGAATGAAGTACTGGTAACGTGCTACAACATGGATGAAACTTGAAAAACACTAAGCTGTCTGTCACAAAAGCCCACATATTATATAATTTGATTTACATGAAGTGTCCATAATAGGCAAATATGTAGAGACAGTAAGTAGTTTAGCAGTTGCTTAGGGCTCAAGGGATGGGATTAAAGGGAAGTAATGGCTAATGGGTGCACAGTATCTTTTTGAAGAAATTAAATGTTCTAAATTGTGATGGTGGGTGTACCCATCTGTGAATATACTGAAATCATTAGATTATATACTTCAAATGGATGAATTGCTTAGTATGTGAATTGTATCTCAATAAACCTGTTTTTAAATGTAGTAAGGAACCTTGGGCAAATATTCAGGAAATTTTGAAGAACTAGTTTCTGTCTTATAATCACAGTTATTTCTCTGTCTCTTTTAAAACTGTTTGCCCACATGTAAGTGCTTCATGGAATATTGCCAAATGGCATAACACTTCTCCCAGAAGTTTCTGAGAATATCTAAAATAATTAGGCAAACACTTACCAGAGCTGGAATTAGGTTGCCATTTGTCTTGCTACTGATACTGCTCCATACTCAGCTTTCTCTGTCTCCTAGGGGTGAGAACATCTGCTAATCTGATTGGGAGACTCGTTCTCCAGAGAAAAATTGTTAACCATAGGAATATTTGGCGAGTGGGGAAAGATTGGTGTGGGGTGTTGCAAAACAGGCTGAAAGTAGCAGATTTAATTGATCAACTTTGTTTTCTGTAAATGTCAATCTGGAAAGTTTTTAGCAGCTGTACTTCTGTGCAAAGGTCCACAATTGGAATTGATTCAACACCGTTTCTATTTCACCATATTGTACTACTTGTCCTAGGAAAATGGTTATTTTAACTTACTGTTAGAGCTTGATTTTTCAGTTGGACAAAGTGAAAGTATATTTTGTGATTGCCTTTGTGACTTGTTATTCATTTTCTTTCTGTCTTCAAATAGGAACGCCCACCTAAGCCTGAAGCTCCCTGGCTACTTACTGCTACGTGGTTCGCTTGCTGTGACTTGGAAGAATCATTTCCAGTTTTTCGTGGACTTACCCAAAATATATTGTCACATCCTATTTCTATACGCTTAGGTAATGTGACAAAAAGAACCTGCTGAGGAGGCTTATAAACAGGCTCTTGAATCCTAATGTTTTCTTTAACCTCTTCTGCAATGTCAATATTTTTCACTAGGAACTTCCTTCATTTCTAAGAAACTGTAAATTATTTGTTTTCACAATTTCTTGAGTAGAATGCTTGGCCCATGAATTTTAAATATTTCATGTTTACTTTATATGTGTGTGTGTATATATATGTATACTTTATATATACACACACACATATTTTATGTATATATTTGAGAATATAAACATACATTTGTGTATTGCTTTAGCTGTATCCCATAGGTGTTTTTTTTTTTTACTTTTTATTGAAGGATAACATAAATCCAGAAAAATGCACAAATCAAAATTATGCAATTTGATTAACTATCACAAACTGTGTAGATTTATTTACGAACCATCACTGAGAGTAAGAAATAAAACAGTACCAGCATCCCAGAATCCCCTTATTCTCTCTCACTTCCCTTCCTCAGAGGCAACAACTACTCTGAATTATAATATTCTGTATTAATTTTTCCCTACAAGTTTTAATATATAGCCCTTTCAATTCTAAAACTACACTTACTAGTTCAAAGCCATTTTAGGATTTAGGGGACCATCTTTTTTTGTTTATAATTTAATTACATTATGGAAATTATACTCATGGTTTTCATGAAATTGACTCTTTGGAATTATATACACTTCCTTTGCAGCCTGGTGCATGTTTTGTTTATAAAAAATATTCCATGCATGTTATTTCTTGAATGCAAGGCTCCATATGTGACCTTTAGCTCAAACTTACTAATTGTGGTATTTATCTTACTAACGTTCCTATACTGGATCTGTCAGATTCTAAGAGAGCTATATTAAGGTATACCACTACGATTGGCAACTTCCCTTTGTAATTTTGGAATTTTTCCCATTATACTTTGTGAAACTATGCCAGTATATAAAATAGGTTTAGAGTTAAGCTCTTAGTAATTATTCCTTTTTATTAAATAATATCCCTCTTTACTCTGAATAATGCTTTTTACCTTAAATATATTTCCTTTTTAATGTATTATTTTTATTTGTTAATCAGGGAGTACATGTGCAGGTTTCTTACATGGGCATATTGCATGCTGGGGAAGTTTGGGCTTCTAATGATCTCATTGCCCAGGTAGTGAACATAGAACTCAATAAGCAGATTTTCAACCTTTGCTGCCTCCCTCCATCTCCTCTTTTGGAGTCCTCAGTGTCTATTGTTCCCTCCTTTATGTCTTTGTGTACCCAATGTTTAGCTCCCACTTATAAGTGAGACCATACAGTATTTGGATTTTCTTTGTTAATTCACTTAGGACAATGGCCTCCAGCTGCATCCATGTTGCTGTAAAGGACATAATGTCATTCTTTCTATGGTTACATAGTATTCTATATGTATATGTACCACATTTTCTTTGTCCAGTTCACTGTTGATGGGAACCTAGGGTGATTCCATGTCTTGTTGTTATAAATAGTGCTGCAATAAACATGTGAGTGCAGGTCTTTTGGTAGAGTGATTTGTTTTCCTTTGGGTATATACCCAGTAATGGGATTGTAGGTCGAACGTTAGTTCTATTTTCAGCTTTTTGAGAAATTTCTAAACTGCTTTTCACAGAGGCTGAACTAGTTTATATTCTCAGCAACAGAATGTAAGCATTCTCTTTTCTCCACAATCTTGCCAAAATCTTTTTTTTTTTTTTTTTTTTTTTTGCTTTTTAATAATAAGCATTCTGACTGGTGTAAGATGGTAATTCATTGTGGTTTTGATTTGCATTTCTCTGATGATTAGTCATGTTGAGTACTTTTTCATATGTTTGTTGGGAGCTTTATGTCTTCTTTAGAAAAGTGTCTATTCATGTTCTTTGCCCACTTTATAATGGGCTTATTTACTTTTTATTGATTTGTTTAACTTCTTTATAGATTCTCAATGTTAGTTCTTTGTAGGATGCATAGTTTGCAAATATATTCTCCCATTCTGTACATTGTACTCAGTTGATATTTTATTTTGCTATGCAGAAGCTCTTTAGTTTAAATCCTATTTGTCTATTTTTATTTTGTTGCATTTGCTTTTGTACGCTTCATCACAATACTTTGCCTAGGCCAATGTCTAGAAGAGTATTTCCTATGTTTTCTTCTAGGATTTTCATAGTTTGAGGTTTTTCTTCAACCTTGAGTTAATTTTTGTATATGGTGAGAAGTAAGGGGTCCAGTTTCATTCCTCTGCATATGGTTAACCAGTTTTCCAGCTCATTTATTGAATAGAATATTCTTTCCACATTATTTTTGTTCACTTTGTTAAAGATCAGTTGGTTGTGGGTATGCGACTGTGTTTCAGGGGTCTCTGTTCTGTTCCATTGGTCCATGTGTCTACTGTTGTACCAATACCATGTTAGTTTGGTTACTGGTCTTGTATATTTATATGTTGGATAATGTGATGCCTCTGGCTTTGTTCTTTTTTACTAGGATTGCCTTGGCTGTTTGGGCACATTTTTTGTTTCCTATGAATTTTAGAATAGTGTTTCCTAATTCTATGGAAAATGACATTGGTAATTTGATAGGAATAGCATTAAATCTGTAGATTGCTTTGGATAGCATAGTCATTTTAACGATGTTGATTCTTCCAACCCATAAGCGTGGGATGTTTTTCCACTTACTTGTTTCATCCTTTCTTTTGGCAGTGTTTTTTTTTTTTTTTTTTTTTTTTTTTTTTTTTGAGACGGAGTCTCGCTCTGTCGCCCAGGCTGGGGTGCAGTGGCCGGATCTCAGCTCACTGCAAGCTCCGCCTCCCAGGTTTACGCCATTCTCCTGCCTCAGTCTCCCGAGTAGCCGGGACTACAGGCGCCCGCCACCTCGCCCGGCTAGTTTTTTGTATTTTTTTAGTAGAGACGGGGTTTCACCGTGTTCGCCAGGATGGTCTGGATCTCCTGACCTCGTGATCCGCCCGTCTCGGCCTCCCAAAGTGCTGGGATTACAGGCTTGAGCCACCGCGTTGGCAGTGTTTTATAGTTACTCTTATAGAGATCTTTCACTTCCTTGGTTAGATGTATTCCTCAACATTTTTGTGGCTATTTTAAATGGGATTGCATTCTTTATTTGTTTCTCAGCTTAAACATTATTGGTATACAGAAATGCTACTGATTTTTGTACATTCATTTTATATCATAAGACTTTGTTGAAGTCATTTATCAGGTCTAGGTGTCTTTTGGTCAAATCCTTAGGATTCTCTAGGCACAGAATCATATTGTTAGTGAAGAGAGATAATTTGACTTCCTCTTTTCCTATTTGAATAAATTTCTTTCTCCTGCCTGATTGCTTTGGCTAAGACTTCCAGTACTATATTGAATAGGAGTGGTGAGAGTAGACATCTATGTTTTGTTCCAGTTCTTACGGGGGAATGCCTCCAGCTTTTGGCTGTGGGTTTGTCATTGATGGCTCTCATTATTTTGAGGTATGTTCCTTTGATGCCTAGTTTGTTGAGGATTTTTATCATAAAGGGATGTTGAATTTTATCAAATGCTTTTCCTCATCTATTGAGGTGATCATATGGTCTTTGTTTTTAGTCCTGTTTATGATGTGAATCACATTTATTGATTTGTATATGTTGAATCATCCTTGCATCCCAGGAATAAGGCTCACTTGATTATGATGAATTAACTTTTTTAAATGCTACTAGATTCAGTTTGTTAGCATTTTGTTGAAGATTTTTGAGTCTATTTTCATCAGGGATATTGGCCTTTAGTTTGCTTTTCTTTTTATGTCTGTGCCAGATATTTGTATCAGGATGATGCTAGCTTCATAGAACGAGATAGTGAGGAGTCCCTCCTCCTCAATTTTTTGGATTAGTTTCAGTGGAGTTGATACCAGCTCTTCTTTGTACATCTGGTACAATTTGGTCGTCCAGGGCTTTTTTTTTCTGTTGGTTGGTTTGTTGGTAGGTTTTTATTCCTGATTGAATTTCATTACTCATGATTAGTCTGTTCCGGATTTTTGGTTTTTTCTGGTTCAATCTTGGGAGGTTGTGTGTTTCCAGGAATTAATCCATTTCTCTAGATTTTTCTAGTTCATGTGCATAGAAATGCTCATCATAGTACACTCTGAGGATCCTTTATATTTCTGGGGGATCATTTGTGATGTCACTTTTGTTATTTCTGATTATGCTTATTTGGATATTCTCTCTTTTTTTCCTTGTTAATGTAGCTTATGGTCTATCAATCTTATTTATCCTTTCGAGAAACCAACTTTTTGTTTCATTGATCTTTTGTATGATTTTTGAGGTCTCAATTTTGTTCATTTCTGCTCTGATTATAGTTATTTCATTTCTTCTGCTAGTTTTGGGTTTCATTTGTTCTTATTTTTCTATTTCCTTTAGGTACAAGATTAGTTTGCTAATTTGAGAACTTTCTAACTTCTCAATGTCATTTCTAACTTCTCAATGTAGTTTTTTAGTGCTATAAACTTTCCTTTAACACTGCTTTGCTGCATCCCAGAGGTTTTGATACATTCCATGTCTGTTTTCATCTATTTCAAAAAAGCTTTTTTACTTCTGCCTTGATTTCATTGTTTACCCAAAAGTTATTGAGGAGCAATTTGTTTAGTTTCCATGTAATTTTATGGTTTTGAGAGATCTTCTGTGTATTGATTTCTATTTTTATTTCACTGTTGTCTGAGAAGATGCTTGGTATGATTTGGATTTTTTTTATTTATTGAGACTTGCTTTATGACCAAGCGTGTGGTCAGTTTTAGAGTATGTTCCATATGCAGATACGAAGAATGTGTATCTTGCGGTTGTTAGGTAGAGTATTCTGTAGATATCTATTAGGTCCAAATGGTCATGTCGAATTTATGTCCAGAATTTGTCAATTTTCTGCCTCAGCGATCTATCAAATGCTATCAGTGGGGTGTTGCATGTTGTATGACTATTGTTGTGTACTGCCAAAGTCTTTAAGTCTAGATGTGCTTGTTTTATGAATCTG